GGCAGTGGTTGCAGTGAGCCAAGATCGTGCCATTGCACTTCAACCTGGCCAACAAGAGTGAAACTCTGCCTCAAAAAAAAAAAAAAATGTGTCTTACAGAATTCAACAGTTTCACCTTCAAATGATGCTGTGAACAGGATATCAGTTCCTCTGGATTCAGCTGGACACCAGTTTCACCATGACATACTACCCTTATCTGATGAATCCCTCCCTCTGGTAAGATCCAATATCATAAGTCCCATAATCTGGGACAATGATCCGCAGGGTCTCCGGACAGACCAACAATCATAGGTAGGATCAACTCTATGCTCCAGGCCAGCAGGATATAGCTGGAAGATGAGACTTCTGCTCCAATGCCAAAGATTTGTTACTGTTGTTCTGTCAGGGGGAGAATATGGAATGCTGATAGATAAGTAAATATCAATGAGAAAGGGACCCCAAATTGATGAGGTTTCCCCAGTGTGGAAGAACAATGAACAATTATTCAGAGAAACAGCTACCCACAAACAACCCATGGGTACAACCTCATTCTGAGGGCACAATGACCTGATTCCACATGTAGTCCCCTCTAGCATGACCCTATAAAACTTCCCTCCAGCCTCCATCTCTTTCCAGACAGCCCCTTCTCTGCTGTGCTGCCCATTGAAATCTTGTAATGCATTTTCATACTTTCTCCAATAAATATGCCTTTCTTTACCTACAACTGTCTTGGTAAATCCCTTTACTGCCTGTGAAGCAGGCCCTTGGCCAGTGGCACCCATGACAATCCCCTCCAATGTAGCAGGAAAAGCAATAACCTTGATGAATGATGAAAAAATATGCAACACCCAAAATTTTTATATTTTTCTTTTAAAATTGGCAAATGAGAAAATACCTGGTGGAGTTTAGAATTACATAAGAAGATATGGTGGTATTCTGTAGGAACAAAGGAGAGATAGATAGTTTAGCTGAAAGCTCTATCTTGCTTTGGAGCATTATTGCTTCTCTTCATTTTACCTTTTTAAAAATCCAAAATAAATACGTGTGTGTGTTTCCTTAATGATTTGGTTTTGAAATTGTTATTGTTCAGACTTGTACTTCTGTTAGGACATCTGCCCAGCAACTGCCTGTCCAAATTTGAACTGATGCCACTTTTATTACTGCTCCCTGTTGCCAGAGATAATTGTATCAAAAGAATTGTGTAATCCTCCTCATTGTTTTTTTAAAAAACTTTTGTCTTCCTTTGATAACCACCTTCCTGAATACACCCACCATATTTCCATCGCAATGCTTACTCCCAAATAATTATCATTTTCTTTTAGAGAACCTCTCTGTGTGTCTGTTATTTAGGTTACCAATAGAAGATAGATGGCTTCAAAGTCTTAAATGATTGTTTTTTCCAATACCTAACCCTTGATCCCCAATCGTTTACTTAATAATTTATTTCTTCCTATTGAGTTACAGTGTATATTGAATCATTGTATGTTATAATAATTACATATGCAAAGGCCTATTTGGTGGCATTTTTCTGTTCCACTAATTTTTATATTCTTGCATTGTCTATAAATCTTTTATGATTGTGGTTTATTTTGATATCTAGGAGTCCTAGTCTTCCTAACTGTTCTTCTTTGTAAAATTTTCCTTGCCATTCTTACAAGTTTTTCTGTATTAATTTTAGGATCATTTTGTTAAGCACTCTCCTCTCCAAACAACTGCTGTTGAGAATTTAATAGGGGTCACATTAAATCCACATACTACTTTGGGCTGAATTTGACACGTTTATATTCCTAAGTTTCCTCATCCAAGAATTTCAATAGGATTTCTTTATAAGAAACGAAGATTTACTTGCATTATCTTGAAAAATTAGGCCTGTCATACTCATAGTTTCTGCTGACTCATGGCTCTGTGCACTGTCTTCTATCTTTTGGATTCTGCTCCTGCCAACTGCATGACTCTTTCCTCAGACCTACAGTTTAAGTTTCCTAGAAAGAGAATTGGCCTAACCAAACACTGTCCCTATTGGAACAGAGTTTTCTTTTTACTATCATAAGAAGTAACAAAGACATTTATCTGAATTCTGCATGTATTTCTAAAGTTTGCTGTTTTCTTCATATCATATTCTTCATATCAGATTTCTGTCTTTTCTTCTTCTTTTTTTTTTTCCTCAAGGCAAAGTCTTGCTCTGTTGTCCAGGCTGGAGTGCAGTGGTGTGATCTCAGCTCATTGCAACCTCTGCCTTCTGGGCTTAAGCAATCCTCCCACCTCAGCCTCTGAAGTAGGTGGGACTATAGGTACATGCCACTACACCTGGCTAATTTTTTTACTTTTTGTAGAGACAAAGTTTTTCCATATTGTCCATGCTGGTCTTGAGCTTCTGAGCTCAAGCCATCCACCACTGTACCCGACCACATTTCTCTTTTAAAAATAATTGTATGTTATGTGCCAGGCAATGTGACTCACACCTGTAGTCTCAGCACTTTGGGAGGCCGAAGTGGGCAGATCACTTGAGGTTAGGAGTTCAAGGTTCGAGATCAACCTGGACAACATAGCGAAAGCCCATCTCTGCTAAGAATACAAAAATTAGCGAGGCATGGTGGCCGCACCTGTAATCCCAGCTACTCAGGAGGCTGAGGCAGGAGAATCAGGTTACAGTGAGCCAAGATTGTGTTACTGCACTCTAGCCTGGGTGACAGAGTGATATTCCTTCTCAAAAAAATAAATGTATAAAAAATAAAGTTACCTATGATATTTCAGATATGTTGGCTGCTCATGAATAGGATTAAGTTTCCTTTACGTTTTCTATAAAGAAAAGCTATTTTTTTTTGTAAAGAAAGTTATTTTTTAAGAGATGTTTTATCATATTCAACCACTTTACCAAGTGCTATTATTTCTAAGTTTTTGCATTGATTCTTTTAAAGTTTCTATGTAAAAAAATTTTTTTTCAAATAATACATATGTCACATCATTTCATAAATTTACTTTTTAAAATTACCTCTCTGGAGGCAGCATGCAAAATGGGAAAGTGGGGCTAGAAACCAGATGGGAAATTATGGTGCTTAGGAGTGATGCAGGATAGATAATAAGAGTTGAAAGGAGAGTGTGGATTTAAGAGAAATTCCAAAAGATAGAATGTGCGGGACTCCGTGATGGGAGGCAAGGGACTGGGAGGAATAAAGGACAATGTCCAGGCTTCAGCTTTACATGACTATGTAGAGACAGAATTGATTAAGCAATTTTTGTGGAAGACAGTAGTCACTCAGATTATAGCTAAGAGATTGGAAAATTATTGTCTTCACAAGTAAAAATAAGTACACCAGAACTGTGGGGCTAAACGACTAAGCATAATTTAGAGACTTAAGTCAGCTAAGTCTCCAAAGCGTAAACCAGCTGTCCTTGTTGCTGTAGCAGCTCCATGGGCCCTGGTGTTTATGGCGACAGAATCTCTCTGTCCCTTTCTTATTACCGCCCATCAACCACGTCACCCATTTCCTCAGGCCTATCATACTAATAGTCTCTGCTCACTCATGGCTCTGTACGCTATCTTCTGAGTACCTTTTGGATTCTGTTCCTGCCAACTACTTGACTCTTTCCTCAGATCTACACCTTAAATTTTCTAGAAAGAGAGTTGGCCTAATGAAAGGTTGTTGCTATTGGAATAGAATTTTCTAATCAGGGCACTTAGCCAGCAGCAGGTCAGTTTCTGGAATGGCTGCCTTTAGGCAGGTGTTCACTCTGTATCCAGTTCTCTGAGGCAACCAACGGATGAGCGTAACACCTAGGCCCTCTGCAGTCAGCAGATTTTTTTTTTTTTGAGACAGTTTTGCTCTTGTTGCCCAGGCTGGAGTGTAATAGCGTGATCTCGGCTCACCACAACTTTCGCCTCCTGGGTTCAAGTGATTCTCCTGCCTCAGCCTCCCGAATAGCTGGGATTACAGACATGCACCACCATTCCCGGCTAACTTTTATATTCTTAGTAGAGACAGGTTTTCACCATGTTGGCCAGGCTGGTCTTGAACTCCTGACCACAGGTGATCTGCCTGCCTCGGCCTCCCAAAGTGCTGGGATTACAGGCATGAGTGACTGCACCTGGCCTGTTAGCACAATCTTTAGGGGAGGGAACTCACTATCACAACTTAGAAGCCTATGGACATAGCCACAGGCTGTGCTTGTTCTGGCTGGTACTACAACAAGAAGGAAGGGCAGGTTGCCAGAGTGGGAGGCAAGGGGACACCAGTTAAGTTTTGGTCATGTTTCGTTGGAGTTGCTTGTAGTATGTCCCCATAGATATGTCCTGCAGGTGGCGAGAAATTCTGGCCCCAGGGTTGGGAGCCTCTGTAGCATTTTTCAGGTCCCTCTTGTAGTACCTACTACATTATAATCTAAATTTACTTGTTTCAAGACACCAGATTATTAGCTCCTTGAAGCCAAGGCTTTGGTCCAACTCACCTTTGTGCCCTCAGTGCCTGACACACAGTAAATGCTTAGTAAATATCTGCTGAATGAATGAATGGATGAGTGATTGTGGGTTGGAGACAGTTAAGTTGGTAGAGATAACAATAAGCTATTTTCTCCATCTTGTACTTGAAAAGTATTAGAAGGAAAAAGAAATGCATTCTAACATTTAACTTCTTTCTGTATATATGTACAATTTATATAACCTCATTTCAGTAAATTCTTTAATTTATATTATCTTTATATATTGTTCTTTTTTCTATGTAACATTATTTTGTACGTGGATTTCTAAATATTGGTGGACTCACATAATATTATTTTTTTTCCTGGTTCCTGACATCAATATTATAGTTTTATTAGAGTAACAAATGGTTGCTACAGTGAGACCTACACGCATATACAGAATTGTATTTAAATTCATATAGAATATTTACATTTTTAAGTTATACTTTTGAAATTAGAAGATGAAGTACAGCTTAAATTTGACAACAAAGAAAAATATATAAGACAAAAATAGAGCTAACAATAAAAACATAACTATCTGTTCTTGATATAACGTGGAAACTTTTCGTCAGAAAGCTACATCTTCTTAATCTGATCGTCCAAATCATGAAAATATGGATGATTCAGTGCCATTTTACCAGAAATTCATTTGGCTGGATCATAGATTAACATTTTTTAGAGCAAATCCAAGCCGTTTTCATCCAGGTTTCTGACATGAGATGCTAGGCTTCCTGGTTTCCACTTGGGAAATGTATTCTTATAGAACTGTAAAGATTCCATTTCTGGCCACACTTCATTATTGGGAGTGCCCAAAGCTCTGAAAATCTTGAAGAGTTGATCAACTTCTGAATCCCCATGGAAAAGTGGTTTCTTAGTTGCTAGTTCAACAAATATGGTGCCTATACTCCAATTGTCAACTGGAGTCAAGTAACTAGCTGACCCAGCAATACTTCTAGCAATATACACCAGAGTGTTACTACCTCATGTGTATATACTCTAATAGGTATTCCAAAAGTTCTGGAAAGGCCAAAATCAGTGAGTTCAGTTGTTCCTTTGTCATCAGTCCAGAGATTTTGAGGTTTTAAGTCTCTGTGAAGAACTCTTCTAGAGTGAAAAAACACAATCCCCTGCAGGATTTGGTATAAATAACTCTTAACAAGTGAAGAATCCATGTATTGACCAGGAGGAGTAGAATCCAAGTATTTCTTCAGATCCGTGGAAAGAAATTCAAAGATGAGATATAACCTGGAATCCTGCATAAGCACATCCTGAAGACTGACTATATTTGGATGACGAAGTTCTTTTAATAGAGAAATTTCCCAAATTGCTGTACTAGGAACCCCTTCCTCTTCACCTTCTAGTCTGATTTTATTCATGGCTACCACTTGACCTGCAGTTATGTGTCTACCCTTATACACAACTCCATAGGTACTTTCTCCAATTTTCTCTATTTTGGTATAATCTTCCATAGTTAGTCAATAGGTATGGTAGATCCTGGCTTATTATATGGCAGAGCCGCAGAGGCAACTACCACATCCAAGTCACTTTCCGCGTAACTTCCAAGAGCCCAATAGTTATTTTTATGAGCTTCCATTGTTTTTTATCTACTTACCCATATGCTATTTGTCGCATGTTGGGAAACACAATGTCTGATAGCATAAAGGCTGGTGTAACTGTGTAATTAACTTTAATCTCACCAAGAGGTAATCAGTTAACATTTAAAGTATTCAAATCAGGAATCCACACTTCCCTTTCCCTTCTGTTCTAATAAATTTCTTTTATTTTTGTCTTATTATAAAAATAATCAAGTATCACGGTAGAAAGCATAGAAATCACAGAAAATTACAAAGAAACGTATTTTTAAAAAACAGTCGTGGCCGGGCGCGGTGGCTCACGCCTGTAATCCCAGCACTTTGGGAGGCCGAGGTGGGTGGATCACGAGGTCAAGAGATCGAGACCATCCCGGTCAACATGGTGAAACCCCGTCTCTACTAAAAATACAAAAAATCAGCTGGGCATGGTGGCGAGTGCCTGTAATCCCAGCTACTCAGGAGGCTGAGGCAGGAGAATTGCCTGAACCCAGGAGGCGGAGGTTGTGGTGAGCCGAGATCGCGCCATTGCACTCCAGCCTGGGTAACAAAAGCGAAACTCCGTCTCAAAAAAACAAACAAACAAAAAAAAACAGTCGTAATCTAACTACTCAGAGGCAACTACTGGCAACATTTTGACGTATTTCCTTGGTCTCTTTTGCTTCTCTATGGTGACTTGTCACTTTCTCCACACTTGTTCTTCCCTGCATGCCATCAGCATATCTTTTATTTGTTTGTTTGTTTGTTGTTGTTGTTTTATGACAGGGTCTCGCCCTGCTGTCTAGGCTGAAGAGCACTGGCACCATCATAGCTCATTGCAGCCTCAAACTCCTGGGCTCAACTGATGATCTTCCCACCTCAGCCTCATGAGTAGTTGGGACTACAGGTATATGCCACAGTGCCTCATGACATGGTTTGAATCTATGTCCCCCACCCAAATCTCATGTTGAAATGTAATCCCCCATGCTGAAGGTGGGGCCTGTTGGGAGGTGAGTGGATGATGGTGGTTCCTCATGAATGGTTTAGTACCACGCCCCTTCAAGTTCTCATCTCAATAGTGAGTTTTCATGAGATCTGGATGTTTAAAAGTGTGTAACACATCCCCTCTTTTCTCTCTCGCTTCTGCTCCAGCCATGTAAGACATTCTTGCTTCCCCTTTGCCTTCTGTGATGATTGAAAGTTTCCTGAGGTCTCCACAGAAGTCGAGCAGATGCCAGCATCATGCTTCCTACACAGCCTGCAGAACCATGAATCAATTAAACCTCTTTTCTTTATAAATTCTCAGTCTCAGGTATTTCTTTCTTTTTTTTATTTTTTTATATTTTTAGCAGAGATGGAGTCCCACAGTGTTGCCCAGGCTGGTCTGGAACTCCTGGTCTCAAGTGATCCTCTTACCTTGGCCTTCCAAAGTGCTAGGATTACAGGTGTGAGTCACTGTACCTTCAGTGCATCTTGCTTGACACTTCCCAAGATAGCTACACAAGCATTTTAAATATAGTAACTTGCTGAAATCTATACAAGAGTTTGTTAACTAGCTAGGGGATATTAGATATCATTTTTCATTGGTTCCAAATAGAAAGACTGTGCAGACATCACTGGGCTTACATGAACAATTGTAAGAATCCAGCAAGCCCCAGAAGTTATTACCTTTTGTGTAGTATCTGAGATCTAGAGCTCTACTTTATCCAGTAGCTGTCACTTCATTAAGGAGTCTATTTCCTGAACCAACCATAATATTGGCAGCTCCTGAGTCCTCAGAGTGAAACTCTCAGGTTGGAGAAAGAGTGCCTGAAGCCAGACACTCTTTTGGAAGGAAACCTGAGCTTAGAAGATCTTGTTATATGATTGCTTGTACTTATTTTATTGTTTTATCTTTTAGAGACAAGGTCTTGCTCTGTCACCCAGGCTAGAAAGCAGTGGTGTGATCATAGCTCACTGTAACTTTGAACTCCTGGCCTCAAGTGATCCTCCTGCATTGGCCTCCTGAAGTGCTGGGATTCCAGACCTGAGCCACTGCATCTGGCCTACTTTCTTACAAATGTGGTTTGGCAGAATTTGTTTTATGATTTGCCTTTATCATAACCTTGCTTACCACCTAGAAACAAGATTTTAAGAGAGAGGCACAGAGACACTCCACCTAACCTTAATTGCCAGGTTATTGACTTTTACTTGACAATTCTGGAACAAATTGGCTTATGCTGACTCAAAATAAACTGCTTGCAAATGTTTCCTGTCATAAATTGCTGAATAGAATGCAATATTTTTGAGACAGGCTCTCACTCTGTCACTCAATCTGGAGTGCAATAGCACAGTCACAGCTGATTGAAGCCTCACCCTCCCGGGCTCAAGCCATCCTCCCACCTCGGCCTCCTAAGCAGGTGGGACTATGGGTGTGTACTATCATGCTCAGCTAATTTTTTTTATGTTTTGAAGAGACAGGTTTTACCATGTTGCCCAGGATGATCTCGAATTCCCGGGCTCAAGTGATTCTACTGCCTCGGCCGCTGAAACTGCTGGGATTACAGAAGTAAGCCACCACACTTGGCCTAGAATGAGGTTTTTTTGGTAGGAAAGCACAATACTCTGAGATTAAAGTACAAGCTATACATATAAGTAAACTGAGGTCTCGAAAGTTAAGTGATTTGTTCAAGACTCACACAACTTGTTAGGGCAGGGCTGAGGCTAAACCATAGGGTCTCATAGCCTAAAATAGTGAAAACACGTATCTTCTCCTTCCATCTTTCCAGGATCATGCAAGTTTTTTCAACAAAGGTCTATGTGGTGATTCTGAAGGCTACATGAAGGTTTAGTTGGTTAAAATCTGTGTCAAGAAGTTCCAAAGTTGGCATATGAGGGTCTGAGTTATTTGATGTCTATGTGTATAATTTGGAGGTTTCTTAAATGCTTATTTTTCTTTTTAAGTTCATTAACCTGCATAATCTCAATTTCATGGTCTAATTTTTAACACTAAACTAAAACAGGATAAAGTCATATAATTATGTTCAACGTCAGTTGTCATTACTACTTAGTCCAGACTGCTACCATGATTCCTGGCTCTAATCAGTCATGCAGCAGTTAATGCCCCCAGTGACCTAAACTATTCATATGAGTTACTTTAATGGACAGTTCTGAAGGTCTAAAATACTTCAGATAAGCCACATATTATATACCCAGAAACTATACAATGCTCATTTTTAAAATATATCTACTAAGTACATCCCAGCTGAATCCTTGCAAGAGATGTGTTTTTAGTCTGGCTTCTGTCATTAATGACTCTTGGGTGAGTCATTTAACCTCTCTGGACCTTCTATTGAGACAATGCAGGTAGACAATCTCTAAGAACATTTCTAGCTTCAAAACTGCCCTTCACTTTGTGAATTTGGGAACCCTTCCGTTCACATTTACTTCCAAAACGGTGCTCTAGATCCCCGCCTTCTTTCCAACTTAGTTTGAGTCTTTTTGAAGGAAACCTGAACATCTCCCTCACCGTTTCCTTTGATTCTAACACCAGCCCTCAAAAGCCCCAAACTCTTTAAAGCCAAAGGCACAAATAAGGAAGAGAAAACCCTCCTTTCTCATCCAGTGTCTAAATCACTACTCTAGTCAAATTACTTCTTCACACACCCTCCAGTTTTTCTGGGATTATAATTTTTTTAATACTTCTGGAAAAAATACATTTCTCTGTAAATGTTTTCTACTTCTAAGAAAGGAAGAAGAAATCAACTACCATCTCTGCCCCAAAGGGAAGGTTTAGTCCAAACTTCAACTAATTTTTAAATCTTTCTTACCAGTTTGCACTCTTTCATCCTTGTTCTATTAAATTTATTTTATTTTATCTCAGTTACAAAAATAATCAACAATCATGGTAGAAAATATGGAAATTATGGAATACTTCAAAGAAGGAGTTTTTTTTTTTTTTTAAGGTGATAATCTAACTACCCAAAGGCAACCACTGGCAATGTTTTGACATATTTCCTTCAGTCAGATGCTTCTCTGTAGTGACCTTGTCTCTTCACTTGTTTCTTCCTGTATGCCTTCGGTATCCGGGAGCTTTCCATCTACTCAAGTAAGCAGACTAAAACGGATTCAAGAACTTGGAGGGAAACTGCATTCTAGAATATGCAGAACAATTCCTTCTTTTTCAGATCATGTTTCCTCCCCAATTTTTTTGATTATGAAAATTTCCGAACACACAAAAAAGTTGAAATGGTAGTAAAATAGACATCTGGGCTGGGCGCAGTGGCTCACACCTGTAATCTCAGTACTTTGGGAGGCCGAAGCTGGTGGATCACCTGAGATCAGGAGTTCAAGACCAGCCTGGACAACATGATGAAACCCTGTCTCTACTAAAAATACAATAAAAAAAAAAAAATTGGCCAGGCATGGTGGCGTGTGCCTGTAATTCCAGCTACTCAGGAGGCCGAGGTAGGGAGAATCGCTTGAACTGGGAGGTGGAGGTTGCAGTGAGCTGAGATCCTGCTATTCCACTCCAGCCTGGGTGACAGAGCGAGACTCTGTCTCAAAAAATAAAAGTAAAAAGCATCATAAGAACCCCCACTAGGATTATGAATTTGTCTGTTTCTCCATTTAGTTGTATCCAGTGTTTTTTCCTTTATCCGATTGGAGCTATATTACGGATGTACAAAGATTTAGAGTTGTTATCTTCCTATTGTATTGACTACTTTATCATTATGAAATGCCCCTCTTTTATCTGGCAATCCTTAATTTGTTAATGTAATGCATTGTATCTAGTAATGCTTCTAGAAGGGTAAAACATTATATTTAGTAATGCTTTTGTTCTGATATTCCTGTAGCCATATCTACTTGCTTTTGAAAAGTGTTTACTTGATATAACTTCTTTCATCCTTTTACTTACTTTTAACCTTTCTTGTCCTTATAGTTAAAGAAGGTCTATTATAAACAGCATACACTTGGGTTTTTAAATCCAGTATGACAGTCCTAGTCTTTTACTC